GTATGGAAGGTGGTGAAATGTAGAGAAGGTAGTGAAAGGTAGGGAAGGATAGTGAAGGGTAGGGAAGGTGGGGTACAAGACCATTGTCAAAGTTAAAATGATGATAAAAGACAGAAAATATATAGATCGATATATAAGATTTTTAGGTATAATATTTTACCGTAACATTATATTTTAAATACCCACATAATGTTTTATTTTTTCACCCTCAACTGAATACTTAAGTCTACCTATAAATTATAGTAGTTTTCTTTGGTGAACAAGGCTTCCGTTTTTTGTTCTTTGAAGGGGAGGTTATCTTGAGGTTATCTTGAGATGATTTCGAGGCTTTTTAGTGTCCCCGCGGCCCGGTCCTCGACCAGGCCTCCACCGCCAGGAAGCAGCCCGTGACAGCTGACTAACACCCAGGTACCTATTTTACTGCTAGGTAACAGGGGCATAGGGCGAAAGAAACTCTGCCCAATGTTTCTCGCCGGCGCCTGGGATCGAACCTAGGACCACAGGATCACAAGTCCAGCGTGCTGTCCGCTCGACCGACCGACCGGGGACATAATTTAGTTTATTATAAGTTATTCAATGTCGTCCAAACTTTTTGGAATAGTTGTATATGAAAAGGGATGCAACTGTTCCAAGCTTCAGTATCGCAGCCTAAATCGAAAGGGAGAATTTTAGTAGTTGTTTTTTCTACGAATTTTACACATTTTCAATAAGCCTCTACAATCACAAGTTTCAAATTAAATAATTTCTATGACACTCTTCTATCACATTAGCATATAATAAAGGATCTGTGTGACCGGATTTTCCAAAATATGTTTAGTTTTACTAATACAAATAGTCAAATTCCCCCAAAATTATGCAAATATAACATGTTTATTACTATTAGTTATTTATTTATTATTTTAGTTATTTATTCATATACAAGAAGGTACATTGGGTTTGTGAGGATACATAGCATAGTATTTACAATCTTGTAAAGCCACTAGTATGCGCAGCGTTTCGGGCAGGTCCTTAATCTAACAGATAATTTTAAGTAGGTAAATTCTATCAGAATTAATAAAATAATAACAGATACACTGCAAGAAAAAAAATGAGATGAGAGAGATTAGCAAGTATATTTAAGCACATTGGTATATTAAAGCTCTGATTGATTACATTGACAGGTTGATTGGTAATTTAAAGATTAATAGACACCATACGGCAAATTTATAGCACATATAAGATAGCAATGATCACAATGGTAAAGTTGTTCGGATTGGGTACATAAAGATTGGGAGATTGGGTAGCAATATCAAATCAAATCAAATCAAATGTGTATTTAGGTAAGGTACATACATACAAGAGATTTTACAAAGAGTGATGGATTATTACTATTAGATACAGGATTATTACTATTATTAGGGTTTATTACTATTATTAGGATTATTACTATTATTACAATAGATACAGTGCAATTTTAAAGCAAAAGGTAAAAAACTATGAAGATGAAATTAGGTACTTTTTAGTTTTGTTTTTGAATGACGCAAAAGTTGGACAGCTTTTCAATTCACTAGGGAGTGAGTTCCATAGACTGGGTCCCTTTATTTGCATAGAGTGTTTACACAGATTAAGTTTGACTCTGGGGATATCAAAGATATATTTATTTCTGGTGTGGTGATTATGGGTCCTATTACATCTGTCCAGGGAGAGTTTCAGAGCAGGATTTGCATTTAAGAACAGGGTTTTGTAAATGTAGTTGACACAAGAGAATTTGTGGAGTGAGATTATGTTTAGCATGTTTAGGGAGTTAAACAAGGGGGCTGAGTGTTTTCTGAAAGCAGAATGTTATTATTCTGATAGCAGATTTTTGCTGGGTGATGATGGACTTGAGGTGGTTTGCAGTGGTTGAACCCCATGCACAGATACCATAATTAAGATAGGGATAGATTAATGCATAATATAGAGAGATGAGAGCAGAGTTAGGTACATAATATCTGATTTTGGAGAGTATACCAACTGTTTTAGAGACTTTCTTAGTTATGTGTTGTATGTGGGTGCTGAAGTTGAGTCTCTTGTCTAGAAATAGGCCAAGAAACTTTCCATCATTTTTATTGCTAATGTTTACATTGTCTATCTGAAGCTGAATTGCATTTGTAGATTTGCTTCCAAATAAGATGTAGTAGGTCTTTCTATATTAAGTGTTAGTTTGTTGGTTGACATCCATAAGTGGACTTTTTTTAGTTCATTATTAACTACATTATTTAGTGTATGTGGGTTGGGGTCTGAATAGATGAGAGTAGTATCATCAGCAAACAAAATAGGTTTCAGAATGTTAGAGACATTAGGCAGATCATTGATGTATATAAGAAATAGGAGAGGTCCCAAGATGCTGCCCTGTGGCACTTCAACGGTTATTGGTAGAGTGGAAGAGGTTATATTATTGATGGCTACACACTGGTGTCTATCACTAAGATAGGATTGGATATAGTCCAGTGCATGGCCTCGGATTCCATAATGATGGAGTTTACGTAAGAGGTAATTGTGATTAACAGTATTAAAGGCCTTTCTCAGGTCAATGAAGAGTCCAATCGGAAACTCAATTTTGTCAAGGGCTGAGTACATTATATCAAGGAGACTAATAATTGCATCGTTTGTACTCTTTTGGGAGCGGAAGCCAAACTGACAGGGGCTAAGAATGTCGAATTTTACGAGATAGGAGTAGAGCTGTTTGTAGATCATTTTTTCAAATATTTTTGATAGTATGGGTAGGTTTGATATTGGTCTATAATTGTTTATGTCTGCCGGATTACCTCCTTTATGAACTGGCGTTACTCCTGCTTTTTTAAGGATATCAGGGAAGGTATGACACTCAAGGGATTTGTACGAACCAACGCCGAGTAACCCTTTTTCTGCCTACGTCAGGTGGGACGTAATCACTCTCCCTCGGCCTTATGCTCCTTCCGCGGCCAGGGGGCGCGCTCCCTTTGGGGGTCGGGGGGTCCGGCCTGTTGGCCTGCAGAGAGGGGGTGCAGCGCCGGATCCCCAAGCGCTCCACCGCATATAGAACAAAGGGGGTTCAGTTAATTATGTCAAGTGTTCCCCGACCTCTTGGCCTGGGTTAATTCTCCTCCAAGTTAATATAGGGCACTTCCCAAGTATATGTTATGCGCCCGCAATGGCTATTCTTCTTACTCCAATTATAGGGTATTCATTATGTTTTTTCTGGGCTCTTGGCCAGGAATCTTCATTAATGTGTTACAGTGTTTACGCAGTAATTTACTTAATTGTCAGACTGTCTCTCATTGTTATACTTTGGTTACACTTGTATTCTAGCCAATACACTTCTGGTCTCTCGACCAGGCTCCTCTATTAACTGTCACTCGGTTTACCATTACTTACCTTTAAAAATGACTGACAGTCTCTCAATTTATTACACAGTTGCTTTATAACTATCTCCTATAGCCATTAGGCTTATCTTGTGTTCTGCAGGAATTGTTTATCGTGTTTACAGGCTATAAGCATTCTTTATTAACTGTTACCTCAGGACGCTCTCATTAAGTTGCTTATCAGCACTTACAGTCTCCTACTATGTTATTAATGTGTCACCTCTAACTTATAGCCTGATCCTCAATTACGCGTCCTGCAGAACAGTACTTGTGTTACTGCTACTTAATAAATGAGCCCCCATACTGTCGTGGCTCTCTTTCCCCCTGATCAGAAATTCCGGGTTCGAGTTCCAGGCGAGACATAAATGGTTGGGCACATTTCATTTTACCTAATGCCTCTGTTCACCTAGCAGTGACTAGGTACTCGATCGACAGTAGTCAGCTCGTTGTAGGGTTGCATCCTGGGCGGGGTCAGTAATTTGGTCTTGGGGTGGGAGACCTCGGTATTAATCTACCGTGTATGAATGCACCCTGGCTTCCTGTCCCCCGACATAATGTTGTTGATGATTTAGGGGCAACGACGATCGTGGGATCGGATGCGCCCCGGCGTACCCGTGATGGATTAATCGCGAAGCCCGGAAAGGTGAAACGCCAAGCTTAATAGCAAAGCGAGTGACGCTAATCACTTACAACTAATACGCCATGTGGCGAAAAACCGCAAACTGGCAGATGATTGGGGAGCCCCAGGAGTCCCTCAGGGTGACAAGCACCGGCCCCGCCCCACACAGAGAACACTGGGTAGCAAAACCAAAACTCGGCCCCCAACTAAATCGCAAAAAGTCATCCAGTGTCCTCCAGCAGAGCAAAACCCAGCTGCCCACCACGACTGAGGGCACACCAGGAGCCCACCAAGACCCGTCAACTCCCGGCACCTCTCGGCCAAGCCGGCCCCCGAACACCGTCACCCCGTCGGGAGAACCAGCCAGAAGACGTCAAAATAAAAATCTATCAACAATCCCGTGACCCAAGGCGATATGTGCGCCAGGCGTCGTACAATCGGACCGTTGAATAGGGATGCCAAACGGCAGTAGCAAAGCCAAAACGCGAAAACAGAACGCGATCCGGCGGCTCCCAGACGGAGGAGGTGTCCAGACGTCCGTTCGTCGTCAAGGATGAACCAGGAGTCTCGTCATATTATTTATTTATTTATTTATTTATTTATTTATTTATATACAAGAAGGTACATTGGGTTTGTGAGAATACATTGGATAGTACAGTATTTACATTCTTGTAAAGCCACTAGTACGCACAGCGTTTCGGGCAGGTCCTTAATCTAGCAGATAATTTTAAGTAGGTAATTTCAATCAGAATTGATAAATGATAAAGATACATTACAAAATAAAAATGAGATGAGAGAGATATTATTATTATTATGAGTGCAAGGAAACGTTGCCTAAAGGTCTTGTTCTGTCAGTAATCGAACTCGGGTCCAATCATTGAGACAAATTAATCACAAAGATATCAGAAATAACTTTAGAATGAGTGATAAATAAATTTTGGCACACATAGATAAACAAATCTAGGCGAGTACACAATTTATAAATGTAATCATCTCGATCGAGTGAATCAAAGACTCGAAAATGAGTTCGAACAGTTGGTTCTAAGGTGAGTTCGAACTATTGTTTTGGTGTAGACGGAAGCCGCAGTTGTAAACAAATGTTGAGCAGACCCGGGGCTCTCTGGCCCTACTATGACGCCCATATTTTCGCCCCCTCAACCAACAACCACAACGCCCATATTTTGTTGATTTCAATTAATACCTGTAAATTATAGTGGTTTCATTGCAAGAAATGGCAGAAGACTTTGTTAATTTCGACGAGGAAGGCGGTAAGTCAACTCTCTCTCTGTACAGTATAGTATTTATTTATATATTTACGAGTACAGTTGGTTATTTTTCAGTTTTCCTGTGTATTTGGTTTATTCTCGCAAGGCCACAGATCCTCTAATTATATAATTTCATGCATGCTTCTGACCCAAATTAATTAACCAAAGCTTAGGCTAGCAATATTTAGCCTTGATCAGACACAGTTAAGTTAACATTTGTTACACAGGAACAAAAAGTGGTCTTCAATCTATGTAATTTAATATGTGCTTACACTAATAGAGGCTAAAAACTGTGATGTCACTTCTTTGCTGTGCTATTTGAAAACAAGCCAGTAATGTTTTCATGCTACTGATAAAATACATACCTTCTCGAGTTTCTTTTTGGTTTTCCAAAATCGGCTTGTTGTGGGGTTGTATCCTGGGTGGGTCAGTAAATCGGTCTTGAGGGGGGGGAATCCTAGGTATAAGGATTCCTATGGTATAAGTCCTGTGGTATAAGTCTACCGAGTATGAATCAGTATTCTGGTGTATAATAGTCAAGATTTTTTGTTTCGAATGTCACATTCTTATACGTTCTGAGGGACTATGTATGTGTCCTCATTCACTTGCTTTTACATCAGTTCTATAATAATCTCCAAATATATATCTTTTAATATATATGGTTATATTAGTGACCACGTTTGTCATAAGTTGAGCCTGGCCTCAGGCTGGGCTTTGGGAGTAGAACTACTTCCAGAATCCTCTCAAGGTATGCTCCAGGTATAACAATATATGCCAATCTGTACATTTCAATTATGTCAATAAGTAGTATTGCACTACTAAGTTCAACATGAGCACCAATAACTTATCATGAAGGGTTGCATACTACTGGCATCTTTATTACATTTTAACATTTAAAACATAAACACTGTGAAACATAATACTAACTGCATTTAATTGCAAACCACAATCCAGAGTGGAGTAATGTTCTTCTGTTTTTCAGTTTTCTTAATTATTTTTTGTACACTTGCATATCTTAATAGGCCAGAAACATTTGTTTTATTTTCTTTAGTTATTTTCCCTTAAAATTTAGGACTACTCTATTTAGTTCTCATTACTGTACATACGATGAAATCCTCAGTAAATTATTACAGTACTAGTATTATTGAACCTTAATAAACTACATTATTCTAGTGATTACATGTCAAAAACATGAAGATTGCATTAACTCATCTTAATTATCAAAATAATTGGTTTAAGAAAATCTTTTATAATTGTGATGAATTATTTTTACTAATTTCTGTATTTTATGTCTATTTTCTCAGTATTTGAGAGTGAAAGATTATCAGCATCTGCTGTCCGCACACTAGATGGTGAGTCACTAGTTGGTAAGTCATTGTTGAGTTAATATTGTGTAGGTCATTTTTGAGTCGCATAGTTCAGTTGACTTCATTCTCAACTGACAGTCGGGGATGCTGGGTTCGATTCCTGGGCAGGACAGAAATGGTTGTTCACATAATGCCTCTGTTTATTTAGCATTAAATAAGTACCTTGGAATTGGGTAACTGTTGTGAGGTTGCATCCTGGGAAGGATCAGTAGTTTGACCTAGGGAGGAGCTTAATACAAGCCTAAGGTATACTATTATACACAAGTTTTCTGTCAACGACAAAACAAAATGGTTGCGCTTTCTTTACAACTTTACTTTTCCATAGTTTATTGGTGGCCATCATTTTGGTAACCCAGTTGTGAGTCACTTTATGGTAAATCACAATTTACTTGTTTATAAGTCTTATGTATTTATAGTCTACTCTATTTAGGCACCCACCTTGTGGCTGCTCCCTTTCCTCCTTAACCCCTGCCTTCCCCCCCCCCCCTTTGCCCCCATTTCTCATCTTACATCGGTCCTTCCTTCCCTTCTCTTCCCTCCCTCTCCTCTTCTGACATTAGTCCTTTTCTCCTTCCCATTTTACATTAGTCCTACACCCTTCCCCTAATTCCTTCCAACATTAGCAATTTTAACCTTTTATAACATGTTAATATACTATTGGTATCTGGTGCAATAAATTTAATATTGTTTAACATTGCATTAACCCAGAAACCAGAATTATTTTTTAGTTTTCACATAACTGAGCTTGCTACTAAATTTTCTGATCAAGAGACTATCATACCATTGTGGCACATTGTTGCCACAATGTGCTAGGTTGGTGCACATTGGTTGGTTGGTTCCGGGTGCACCACAGCTGCCCTGCTTTGGTTAAAGGGACCCGGAATCGGGTCCTTATAACTGAATTATAGAGACCTATAATCGAATTAGATTCCCTGTAACCTATAATCAAATTGTAGGGAACCCTGTTCCCCCCACCCCATCCCCTCCTGCTCGTGGCCCCCAAACGTCTGAGGGTTTTTGAGTCGATGCAGGGTTTTTTGGTGGTGAGACTTGGGCGGCTTTGGGGACTGCCCCTTCCGGATCGGCGGTGGAGGCATTCAAACCTGTTTCTCCTGCCAGGGCTTTTGGGTCATGCCAACGGGCCCCCCCTTCGACCCTGCTTTTCCAGTGGACTCTGCCTTTTCTCCAGAGGCAGAGGGTTTGGAGGACGGCTTGGCTCTGGGTCCTGATGTGAAGGATCCCGCGGCTGGGGAGGAGTTGACTTGGGGGGCCTTGGGCCCCGTTTGACCCCACTTAGGTGTTGGTACCCTCAGCACGGGGCTTGTTGTTACAGGGGAGGGATTTTTCTATCCCCCTCTCCCTTTACGAGTTTGATATGGGTTCGGTTCCAGGTTCCCTTGGGTTTCTCGGTTCCTCTTTTTCCGGAGGTTTTCAGCTTCCCGCATCTTGCCGAGGGAGGTGCGGGAGACCCTTGCGGCTTGCCTCCTGCAAGACCCAGATTATGCCTCGATAGAAGTTCCTTCTTCTTTTGAGTTTGGCTCCTCTTTTCCTTACTGAGTGCTTTTCGAGGTGCTCTAGTCTTCCTGGCTGGCAGATTGCCCTTTCTTTTCATTGAGGGGTGTGGCATGCATTCTGTCGGACCCGGTTTACCTGGGGGCGAGTTTGAGCACTTTAATGCGTACTTGGTTTGCCTCTGTGTTTCCTCATAATGTCGGCCAGGTGCAGCTTCACATGCAGGTTCCCTCCCTTTCGGCATCCCTGTTGGCCGAGGATTTGTGCAGCCATGGGCACTTGGCTTCGGTCTTGTGCTTCTTTTACCCTGCTGGAGCTGTCTTCGGACTGGCTCGAGGAGGATGTGGAGGAGCTAGGTTCCAGGCCTGCATCCAGTTCGCTTGCCTCAGCGGCTCAGGCATCGGCTGCCTTGTTGAAGTTGTTCTATGGGGAGGGGGGCCAGGGTGGTCCTGCCTGGAAGGGTTGTGCCAGGGCTCGGGGTTTCTACAGTCGTCGTAAGCCAGTTGTGCCAGATTCGGGGCCGGACCCTCCTGCAGAGTCGTTGGCATCTGGTCAGCACAGTGATCTCTCTGAGCGTCATTCGGGCTTTCATAAGGGTCGTTGGCCCTTTCACAGTTTGCCCAGTTGATGGGGTGATGGGGGGGAAGCTCGTGCTGTTTGCTCTTGCCTGGTCCCACGATTCATGGCCAATTCGGGTCATTTTCTCCAGCCTACGGTGGCATTCGGTGGCTCCTCCTCCTTCGGGGGGGGATCGGGGCTGGCAGGGTAGGCTTCTTCCCCTGTGCTCTGTTCGGTCATCCTGGAATGGGTTCGCTTGGGCATGATTGAAACGATGGTGTCACTCAGGTGGGTTTCCCACCTGTTTTCCAGCTCTGAAACTTGATTCATCCAGAGTTCAAGGACTGGCTCAGTTTTGTCGTGGGGCAAAAGGCTTACCGCTTTCGTTGCTTTCAATTCGGCTTGAATCTGGCACCTCGCGTGTTCACACGCCTTATCCAGGTCGTGGTGACCCGTTTGTATCTGTTAGGGGTTCGGGTTCTGGCTTACCTGGACAACTGGCTGGTCTGGGCTCCCAGCCAGTCTGTGTGTTTGCTTGCTAGGGATTTGGTTCTTTCCCGTTTTGCCTGCTTTGGGTTGTAGATGAACTGGAGGAAGTCCCATTTCATTCCCTCTCAGGTTTGGACTTGGCTGGGTCTTGTGTGGGGACTCTCGGACCACTAACCTTGTCTCTCCCTCCCGTAGTGTTGCTGCGGCTGCGGTCCCACCTTTGGCTGTTTTTGGCTTCCCGTGGGGTCGGATCTGGCTTCGGTGGCTGTTCTAGTTCCTTCAGGAACATCCCTTCCACCGATGTCGCGATCACTGGGTTCAGATAACAGGAGCCTTCCATCGGCTGCTGCGTCGCCAGCTTCCATTCGGGTTTTTCAGTTCTGTGCAACTGTTGGACACCAGGGAATGTCCAATGTCCTAGTGGACAACCTGTCTCATTTCATTCCCCTGTCCACGGAATGGACAGTTGAAAATGACGTGTTCCTTTGGCTCTGCCGGATGTTCGGGCGCCTGGAGGCTGACCTCTTCGCATCGGCCTGGTCGAGGCATCTTCTGGTACATGTGGTGCCCTTCCCCGACTGCGAGGCTGTCGGGGTCGATGCCTTTCGGCTGAACTGGTCGAGGTGGGGTTACCTGTACAGTACTTCTTCCCCCCCCCCCCCCAGTTCGGTTGTTGCTCTAGGTTCTGGCTCGCTTGGAAACTAACCAGGGAAGAGTAATCCTATTGGCCCCTTGGTGTTGCCCAGAAACCAAGCCCAGCCTTGGTTTCAGGTGCTGCTTGTTTGGTGTCCGAACCCGAGGGGTCTTCCTGCGGCTCCACCTCCTTCAGCGGATCGGTCTGGTCTGATACGTGGCTGGTTCGATCTTCTTCGCTCTTTGCGTCTGGTCTTTTTTATGAAGATTTATCACCACTTGTAGGGTGATCAGGTGGCTTCATTAATGGTGTCCCACCTGTGAGTCTCATCTTGGCTGCAGTATGAAGTTTCCTGGCAGTCCTTTCAGCACTTTTTGTCTCTTCGTAGATTGTCTTCGATTTCTGATCGGGTTGCTTTTGTCCTTTCTCTCTTGGTTGTTTCAGGACTGTCATCTTATGCCGAATACATATACTGTTGCGTTGTATCGTGCAGCACTGGAAGAGCTGCTTCAGCTTGCGTTTGGGGTGGATGTCACTTCTGCTCCGTTCCACAAGCTTTCTCAGATGTTTCACCTCCGGCCTGCTCATGCTCCGCCTGAACCGTCTTGGTTGTTAGACCGGGTGCTCTCCTTTCTCTATTCTCCACAGTTCATGGTGGCCCCTTTGGTTCAGAACTGTTTTTCTAAGTCTCTTTTTCTTGTTGGCATTGACCTCTTGGGGGGTCAGGTCGGGAGCTTCATGCTCTCCTCTGGCGCAGGAGTTTCTGCTCTTTCGGTCCTGGTGGTCGTTTTATTCATTTTTTAGCCGTTTCCTTCTTTTCTGGCAAAGAATGAGACTGCTGCTTTCCGAATGGGTCCTTGGGTTGTTGATGCTTGGTTGGTTTGACCCGGGATGCATCATGTTTTGTGTCCGGTTGAGGCTCTTTGCCGTTATTTGCGCGCCATGGCCTCTATGGCAGGGGACGTGCTTTGGGTGGACCCGGTTTCCTTTCTTCTCTGTTACAGGGTGCGGGTCTCCCAGGTCGTCCGCAGGGTTATTCGATCCAGCCAGCCTGCGGTCTATTCCCATGCCATGGACATAAGTTAGTTCGTGGCTTTGGTTTCTGTTTTTGGTAATATGTCCTGTTCTGACATTCAGGCATGGGGTTTTTGTAGGTTGAGCAAGGTCCTGGCCACACGGTACCTCGTTAATGTTCCTGACTCTTCTCGGGCATGTGTAGCTTTGGGTTGCAGGTTGCAGCCAGTTGTCTCGACTTCGAGTTGAGGAACGAGTGACAGCTGCCTCCCGGCTAAGTCTCTCTTTTCCTTTATCTTTGGTTAGGTTGCTCCAGGAAGCAGAAGGGGCTCTCCACAGAAAACCAGCGTTGAATGTAATGAAACACCATTTTCTGGGCGAGACCCAAAGGCTCCCAAGCATCCCTCCCTCCCTCTGGTCAGCGGTTTTTCACGTTTTTGATATTTAGCCTTTGAACAGAGATTGGGTAGCTGGTGCAAAGAGGTCTGGGGCTCCCCTTTCCCCCCTCTCGGGGAGGGGGGAGTTTTGCAGACAGCATCGTGGCAGCTGTGGTGACGTCATGCTTGTTTGCTTGTTTTTGATTTAGGAGTTCTGCTCGCTAGTTCAGCTTTCGGTTTGCAATTTTTAACCAGCTGTAGTTTGTTTTAGAATTCCTACCTTTCTGGGTGCCTGACCTGGTAGATGGCAGATATATTACAATCCTGCAAATGGCAGACTTCCTCAAATTACACGGGGATGTCTATAGGCCATTGCTCCTCGTGCCTCTCTGAGGGGGCCAGGTTCCAGCGCTGGTCCCCAGTAGGCCTAGAACTCCATTGATCGACTGTTACCACGGTCCAATAGATACCCATCAGTATAGCTCAGCTCAGTATAGCTTCGGGGAGCCTCCGGGTCTCGCCCAGAAAATGGTGTTTCATTACATTCACCGCTGTTTTTTTAAGCCAAGCACAATAACTAATCTTGTTACATATCTAATACTATAATATGTCATTATTATAAAATCTAATTCTGTCACATTTAGTAAATTCAAAAACATCGATCTAATCATGAATCGTCTGTACTTTTTTAGATATAAAATATGAGAAGGATAACTTGGGAGTTAATTGCCAGAAGACACAGGCTGCTGGAGACCATAGTTTTGTTTCCAATGCTGATGATATGTTAACAGCTAGTACCGGTAAGTTTTAGTCACTGATCAAAATAACCTTATTCTTGATGTCATAACAGAACTGAACATTTTTTGTGGTGGGGCGCTGGATAAAGTAACCCATTCATATTCATTTAATTGTAATCTTTCAACAGATGCAAATACTATAAAATGTATTAAGTTGATAATACTTTAATTGTTTAATTTTATAGGACATTTTTATTTTAAGATAAATTTATTGTTTTCACAAGATTTATGTCCTGTTTTGTATTTCTGAAAGTTTTAAAGCAGTTTATACCTTTTCTATGGTAAGTTTTGTCGTAAGAAATTAATACTAAAATAATTTATTATGTATGGTGTAAAATGTAACATTTTCTCTTCTGTTGGTTTTTAAATCATTATCATCATTATCATCTTGTAAATTGTAACTTTCACGGGGAGAGGAGACATTTACCTTCTTGGGAAAATATGAATAATACTAATTGATGTCGCCAGCATCTACCGGAGACCAGAAGTAGAATATGGTCCACTCATTAGAGGTAAGTGAGTCTGAAGATACCAGATCAACCTAAACCAACAGGAAAAACTGAGAGAAAGGTAAACACCCCAAAAACAAGCAGGTTCCTGGAAAAAGACATTGGCAATTCTGACAGCTATGAACATACACTTGTTAGCCAATTCCAATCACTAGTTAGCTACACTAACTAATGTATGTTTCTGGACAATTAGTATATCCATAGTTTGCATTAGTTACTATTTTCTGCATGTAGTTGCTCATTTTGGTTTCTTGAAACTTTGTTAGCATCTTCTTTCAGCTTGGAGTGATTTTATATCTCAAACCTCCCCTTGCCTCTTATTAAAGGGACCAGATTCTAGTTCTTGTCCTCAGTAGGTCCTCATGACTCATAAGAGCCAGGTGAGGTACTGTAAGATTGGAACTACCCTAGTGAGTAGCTTGTGAAGCTACTGAAGGAACCTACCAAAGTTGTTTCATTATATTCAACACTGTAATTAAGCATAATAATAATATTATTATTATTTATTATTATTATTATTATTATTATCATCATCATCATCAGTAGAGCTGCTTCGTGAAAAAGTTGTAAAGTGCACCATACGAGTTGTCACAGGCACAAAATGTTGACATTTTTCCTGACATCATCTGCCACTCGGTAATATGTTTAAGTATACAGTACTGTGTAGTATTGTTTCTAACAAATATTCATCATTGATTTGTTGTGTATTAGAAATAATTCACTAGAGACCTTTTGTCATGTAAATTTAAGATGAAGAGTACATGGCTAGACAACCAGTATTGAATCCTACAGGTGAGCACGGTGAGGTGAATGTCATGGATGAGAAAGAAGGTATGTTAGCAAGTGGTGTCCCCGATCTGGTCAAACTGCCAACATTAGAGGTCACAATAAAGCATACAGGTTCTTCTCACGTCCAAAATGTCGGTGAGCAAACAGCAACACATTATCAATAATAATTAATTTATTAGTGAGTGGTTATGTATACATTATTTCATATATTCTATCTTTGAAACAATATCTTTTCATTTAAATTTTATTTGTACTGTATATTGAATGAATATATAGAATATTTCAACAACAATTTTAAGAACTGTATTATATTTGGTTCTGATTGAACATTTAAAAGCATGAAGAGTAGGTGTTTTGAAAGTTTAGCTGTGTACATCTTCATGAAGTGCATGTTGGGAAATGTATAATGTAGATTAACAAATACAGTACAGGCATTGTTTACTTTACAGCACTTGAATGATTTAACCTTTTTGGTGTTACATTATATTTTTATATTAACAGAAGACACAAGAGTTGCTGTGTATAAGCCTGCATCATCTCAGGAGCAAATTGTTCTTAATGTAGAGGAGAAGCAGACTAAAATTCATCAGGACCTGAATGAGATAATACTGTTGGAAGATGGCAATAATGTTGTGAATTTGCAGAAATCCGTCATTGATGAATACAGAAGAAAAACTGAATATTATGGCCCTCTGAAAGCAGTGGTTGAAAGAGTTACAGTGGAGCTTGAAGGGAAGGACAGAGAGATAATGAGAACGAAGTTAATGCAAGTCAAATTTGTATCAAGAGATGCCTCGGGGCAAGAGCTGAAAGGAGAAGAGTTATTGCAAGCAATAGCTAAAATTCCAGGCCTTATTCCACCATGTGATCCCCCAAAAGAAGATGGTGGAATAAGTGTCACAGGAGAAAGTCAAGGTATTAATGGGGGCGAGGTGGTGTCAATCAGTTTTAGCGATGGTGAAAATATTAGCATTAGCAAAAAGGCAATAGAACAATATAGAAAGCTTTCTCGTGTAACAAAGCCTCTTGGAGCTCAGAGAGAAAGGACCTTTGAAATTCAAGGGGAGGATAGGATTCCTGTAACTATTGTGCGCTTATTCCCCACAGAAAATATTGAACCTTTGTTACCCTTGTGCATAAAAGATGAAACTCCTTTGGAAGTCAAACCACCAGTAATAAAAAGAGGGAGACCACGAGGACGGGGAAGAGGAGTAGCGAGAGGTAAGGGAAGACAGCAACCCAGGTTCCAAGTGGAGTACACTGCCCTGCCACGAGGCTTAAAACCCAGAATAAAGCAAGAACCTGATTCTGATCATTCATATGATTTACATAAGAGTGAATCTGAAGATGGTCACATCAGTAACTTAGGTTATGAAAGTGGGTTAATTGTTCAGATGAGCCCTAGTTGTAATGCTTCAGAGACTGATATAGATGATTTTGACAATTATGATAATGGAGAAGATATATTACCACTTCAGCTTCACTCGGCTCCTACAGATATGAATGCTAGACTGACTTCACTTGAAATTTGGAAATATCTCACAGAATATGCCTCAGAATATAATAGAGTTCAAGGTATGATAACACAGTTTAATAATGAAAGTTGGTTAGAGGTTAAGAGAATGTCTGATTTTTATCATGTAGATGGTGAAGTAATGATAGATATATCATTTAAAGCTGTGTACAGGAATGACCCTTCTGTCACTTATTTCTTAAGAGGGTTTAGCCGATTAATACGAACAGGGGAGCTTGCCACAGCCAATGATATCAACCACTTGTTCCACTGTCTGTCTCGTGACCGAAAGCTGTGTCTTGGCTTGAAGCCGTCTCCCTACCAACCAGATATTGAAACTAATGAGCAAGTCAGGCTCTACTTTAAACAGAAAGGCCAGTTTGTTTCAACCCCATTTGAAAGTCTCTTTTCCAAAGTGTGCCGAGGGATTGTAACTGTCAAAGGTAATCCACGCTCTACCACTTTTACTCGAGGTTCCAAAAGTGTGCTGGGTGTGCATGCTCTGTGTAGTGCCTGTGCAATGCTAGGTAAGAAGATGAACCAACTCATCAAAGCCTTCCCCAAAAATGGTGCTGCTTTGAAGAGTGAGGCTTCAGATGAAAAGGTGAGTTACTTATCTACTCTATTATGCATGCATGTACTCATACCGTAACATGAAAATTTGCTGACTCAAACCAAATGTTCTTGCAGTAGTATTTGTACTGTGAACTAGTACATACAATGCTTAAAGCCACTATTATGCAGAGCGTTTCGGGCAGGAAAAACACTAAAGACTAAAACTTAATACTAATTGAGATTAAAGTATAAAATGTGTTGAGACAATATAAAAATAAAAAAGGGGGAACATGGCAGAAAAACAGCAAAAATACAATTTGGTCGACAAACATACATTAGCCCGATAAGCTCCAGGGAGCCTCCGGGGTTCACCCAGAAAATGGCATTTTATTGCATTCAACGCTGGTTTTTTTTTACAGTAAACTATACTGAAAACCCATATTCTAAATATATGAAAATAAAAATCATATGCTATTCTGAGAGCATAATAACACCAAATGAACAGTTAGTGATATTTTATATTTTTGCAGCTGATTTCATAATCGGAAGTTTTCAATTTTCAATTTTAGAATTTTTTATTTTGTTGTTTTCAAGTTACACTGGTATCATTTGGACAAAGTTGGAGCATTTTCCTAGTAGATTATGCACAAAACATTTGAAAGAGATTCAGAAAATTTAAAGAACTGAGCTTGATGTCACACATCATATGACATTTTGCGCAGTTTAAGGGTTAAGCTAAGCAATTTACATTTGTGTTTAAAAATGTTTGTAATTAGTTCATTTGTGTCTCATTTGTCATCGTGTTACAAGTGTAGTACTGATATTTACAGTACTGTACTGTAGTTAGAGTGGTCGTGAGGTAAGCCAAAAGGAAACTTGCACTGTGAGCTTACTAACAATAGCGTACAGTATATGCACTGTCTAAAGTCGATGAGTTACAGCCCCGCTCCTGTACTAGTACTCATATGAATCTAAGTAGCTGAATCTAAAATATCAACGTTGACGAGCTTGGGACACTTCTGTATATTTTTCTTGCTTACAGGAGAACAAAAAACATGGTTTAGACATTGTTTAATTTTACTATTCTGTTTATATTTAGTATTTATTGGTAAATGTTTTATTGGCAAATAATTTAGTCTTTATTGGCAAATGTTTCAAGTTTGTTTTCTTTATTCCAGATTGGTGAAGATAAATATAACAAACAACTCTTTGGACAGTCAATCAAGAAAAAGGGAGCACAACTGAGCAGCAGTGCTATTCGGCAGATTTTTACCCAGAGTGTTATGGAAGTTCTCTCTGCTAAAGTTCCATCCAGATTCTCCAGTAATCAAGATGAAATTGATTTGAATGAGGAACTTACAGTAAGGGGCAAACGGAAAAAGGTAAAAAAGAGAACCAGTGAAGAAGGGGATGAAGAGGAGGATACAAGACCCAGTGTTGGTTGCACAGAGGAGGAGTTTTTGCAAATGATTGATTTACGGCCACCAAATCCTGGTATTTTAGCAAGATCATTAGTAAAGAGGTGTAATGTGTGTCAGTTTCGTGCCCCTACCATGTTGGCTCTCTTTTCTCATATGCAGGGACATATGGGTACATTAAAGGAAAAGTGTGGTGATTGCCAAGTTCAACTATCCAGCAAGGAAGCACTTGAAACTCACAGAAAACAAATGCATACTCAGCGTTCCCCCATGTGCACTATATGTCAGTTAGACTTTACCACTAAAGATCAGCTTTTTGATCATATGAATAAACATCGTGATCACCATCCATTTGAGTGTCCATTTTGTGACCATAAACTAACGAATATGGATGCATACAAAAAACACGTGAGATTAACACACAAAATAAAATCTGTCAGAGACTTGAAATATGCTTGCAAGACTTGCAATATTCACTTTTACACTTTGGATCACTTACTTTTACACCGTGTTAACCAGAATCATGAAGATATAGATATGTTTAATTGTAAAGCCTGTGGTTCTTCTAGTGTTACAGCAAATGAATTTCGTAGTCATATTTTAGAACATAGTGAAGAAGAAAGAGAAGCAGCTAATGTAGCAATATGTTCACAGTGTTACAAAGTTTTCTTTTCAGCATTTAAATTAAAATTCCATTTAGATACAAAACATAACCAAGGAAAAAAGGAACTGGAGTCAGTTCAAATTGAAACAAGTTCTAATGAACCACCAAAGAAGAAAAAGAATAAGGGACCATACTTACGATACCTACGGGCCAATGAAAAATATGAGTGTTATAAATGCAGACGAAGATTCAAAACTCGTGAAACCTTGGAAAATCATGTAAAGTTCTCTCATGGTGAAAAGAAAGTGACAAAGGCAGACTGTGAGTGTACCCAATGTGGTCGCAAATTTAATGCTCTAAGAAGGCTGGCCAATCATATGAAAATTCACTTGGGCAACAGGCCTGTTTTTCAGTGTGAAGAGTGTGGCCAGATTTATGGTAAGAAGATTCAAGTGCTGGAGCACATCCGCACAGACCATGCTGAGCAAGTGCAACTACATCAACAACAACAAGAGCTACTTCAGTCCAGTCAACCTGCAGATCACTTGGTGGATATTCAAGAGCAGCCACAGCACCCAGTTATTGAGGGAACAGCTACAGCCTCCTGGAGCCCTATAAAGAGCCCTTTCAAAGTTCCCACTGTAGAACAAACTCAGGAGGCAGTGTATAGTCTTCTACAACTGACAGATTTTTAATTGAAATACTGTACTCTTTTTTTTTTTTTTTAATTGCCTCGGTGATAGTACTGAAAATTAGCAAAAATTTGGTGTCGTACTGGCAATTAGAAAGCAAGTATAGTACAGTACTGTATTTAGTTAAATAATTCTGCATTATTCTTTGTGTTTTAATGAAATATAAATGAACCCTGCATTACGAATACCATGCTCCAATTTTTATGCATAAATATTAAATTGTGAGGCTGATAAAGGTAAAAAAGTGAGAGCTACAACGATTCTTAAACTGTGCAATATCGGTGGAAGAAATAAAAATTTTCAGGTACATAGTGAAGTGGAAGAATATTATACAGAATAAAAACATTGGAAAGTTTAATGGTTCAAATATATTAAATTGAAATAGGTAAATTACTGTACCAGGTAATGTAATAAATTGAAGATTGCTGTGGAAAAGATAAAAAAAAAAAAAATAAGCATGCATTTTCAGATGAACAATAGACCCTGTATAAAAACACAAAATGTGTGTGGAAGTGGAGTTGTCAGTATAGGTTTTGCTTAAAGAAAGTAATAATTTAACAGTAGAGTGTAGTACTGTAAAGGTATTTGCTGTGTTCAGCATAAGTTACTGATTCTCATATTAGACTTTAAATTATATAGATTAGATTAAATTAGTTCAGTTATTTTATTACATTTTTGTCATTCTATATTTCACAACACAGCCTGAAGGTTCTTTGGAAAATATAAAGCTAGACAGCTATACTGGACTAAGGAATATGTTTAAGAGGCATACACAAAGAAATCGTCTGTATTGGAGCATAGCTGAGAAAGTTGGTATACATTATCATAGAGGTCAGATACAGATGACTTGACCAAAATAAGAGTCTCATATTAATAATAAGTGTTTGAAGATCTCTTCAGATAAATATTATGAACAGTTTTAAATTGTAAGATCACATGATCATCTCATATGAAGACCTTACTATAGCAGAACCCCCTCAAGAGTTTCACCTGTGGGGGCTCACCAACAACTCCCTGGGGTCGATGAAGCGTTACCTCGGCCCCCTCCTCCTGCTTCTATTCAGGCATTGTATATGCATTCCCCTCAAAATTTTGCCTTGTCATGATAACTGCTCACTCCCTGGGCTTTTGGGGGTTGCCACAACTTCCCCTTTTCTGTGGGGCCTCTCCCAAAGACTTGCATCTTCATTGTTGAACTTTATACAATTTTGTATGCTCTTCATCAGCTACTTTTCTGATGTCACTGTTCCTTTGTCATTGTGGTTGACTCATACAGTGCCCTCATTGATCTTGAGTCGTTTAACCCTTGCATCCTTTGGTCGTTGAAATCCAATATTGGCTGTTTCTCATCTAGCATTTTTAAGACAATTGAGTTTTGCTTGGGTTCCCAGCCTCCTTGGTATTACCTTGAATGAAAGAGCAGTCACTTACACTAAGGAGGCCATCTGCACTTGTCCTATCTTCCAATAAGGCATTCCTTATTCCGATTTCTACCCAGTCATTCTTCAATCTTTAACCATTGGCAGTGTCATTGGTTACAGGTAACTGGGGTTACTTTGCACTCTTAAGAGGCCAGATCCTTGATTTCTCAACTTTTCTCAAACACGCTCAGATTTTTTGTGCATAATCTACATGGTAAATGCTCCAAATTTTTCCAGTGGATCAATATCACAACATGAACAGGAAAACAAACACAAAAATTTATTTTTAAAACATTGAAAATTTCACACTTTTAAATCAAGTTCACAAATTTAATATTTCACCATTTTTATTTTATTCATTTTGGGCTTAGAATGCCATATAACGTTCATTTTCATAAATATAGAATCTAGTTTGAGAGTATAGTTTACTGTAAAAAAATTCAACGTGACCTTCAAAATGTGCACAAAATTTAGACACAAAATATGTGTACAGTAACTCCCTAAGTTATGGGTTTATGAATAAACACTTTTAAGGATACCATAGAACCAAGAACTTTGCACACATGTAAAAATGGTGAGAATCGATCGGAAACAAAATTTTTGAAGGTGTCTCAAAATTTGTGTGAAATTTTTCCCTCCAGGAGGCACTCAGCAATCCTAGAAGGCACCAGCTGTATACCCACTTTGTGGACCCTCCTTACTATTACTTACTACTACTATTGTTCTTTGTACATAGGACAGGTGCTTGCATCTCTTTATCATTATCCAAGAGTTACACTAACTAGGTGGTGTTATTGTCATCATAATTACCGGTTGCGCACTTTTTTTTTTTTTAATTAATTTAAAATCCATTTCTTAACATGTGAAAATTTGATCCTAATAACGCTGATGCCAAATAATGTTAGATTTGATTAACATTTTATACGATATTTCATATTTGGACGAATATTTTGGAGGACCCCTGCCCCTTAAAGGTAACTTATCCCATTGTCCTTCCTCGTACCACCAAAATAGATGGTGGGAAATGGCTCTCTCTAGGTTACATATTGGCCACTTGCTTGACTCATGGGCATGTAATATAATACTGCCCTGCTCTTTATTGTCCGAACTTCAGTGTTCCATTTACAGTCGTGCACTTCCTTGTCGAATGTCCTGATTTTCAGGATGATAATGTGTGTTGCTTTTCTAGTGTCCCTCAGGGTCATTTGTCTCAATAGTCTCCTTGATGAATACCATGCTTTTCATATTGCTCACCTTATGTCTATGTGTTCTTGTATTGGCATCCTAAGTGATATTTGAATACCCAGTGATAATGATGGTGCTACATAGTCTTCCCGGCTTGGTGCCTTCTTTTCATTAGTACCTACTATAGTTGTTGTTCATAAGCAGCTATCCAACTCTTCCTAGAATGTCCTGCTTTTTAGGATATTTCAAAATCTTGCTTTCCCAATGCTTCTTTGCATATTCTGTCCCCCGATAAAATGCTTTGTGAATCTGATACCCTTGACATTGCTCGTCTTGTCTTTATTCTCTCATATTGGTATCCTGCATGGTATCTAGGAATTTTTTAATATTCTATATCATGAAGGGTGCTAAATATCTTCTAAACTTGGCACCTTCTTTTGATAATTACTCATAAGTCACTAAACGTAAAATATATCAGCAGTTCCACATTCCTAAAGAAATATTGTACAAAAATATTTTAAGAATTGTAATATTCTTGATTCAAATAACTGTACAGTATTGATAAAATATGACCATCCTTAAAAAAAATTTCTGAAAGATATTTGGTATAAAAAAAAAAAGCAGTATGGTAGTCAATTTTGTAATATATTGGCATTAGTAAATTTTTTGACTTTTGAAGATCTTTAAAAACTAGAAGACATTAAATTTAGTGAGTTTCTTAAGACTTCTGACCTGGGAACCTAATTTAACTGAAGGTGTCATCAGAATGACACCTTCAGTTTGAAAATATTATTACAGTGTGTATATTAAAATAATGTACAAAAATATTATTAATAAAAATAAATTCTGGTACTTGCCCAGAACATGAAGTTATACAGGGGTGTCTCAAAACTTGAACCATAGGACAAATAAATTATGAAATTGGCTGTTATTTATTATACTGTACAGTATATTTTAAGTGTTTTCAATATGTCCTCCATTGTGATTTTCTACACTAATGCAAATACTGTAAGCTATTTACCCAAATTTACCTGAGGGCCACCATCTTTAGTAGCCTCAATAGGGACAGGAGGCTAGAGGCTTATCAAAACATCCCATCGTTATTCCTGAGCGTTTTTTCCAGCTCGATTTCGACTGAAGTAATGTCTTGGCTTTGGTGAGTAGGTGATTCCATGGGTTTACTACTGTATTTGGATAAAAAAAACTTCCCATTTTCTGGCCTACAGTGTAGCTAGTTGAGCTTGAAGCTGTTTCTCTTTGTCCTACCTTCTAATTGTCCATATTTTTAAAGTTCTTTTGGGATTTGACCTGTCCTGTCTAGTTTGTAGTGTTGTTAGTGCTAAGACTCAAAATTTTTCTTGGCATGAGAGTTGACCTAGTTCTGGGATGATTTTTGTGGCTCTGTTAAACTTTTTCCAAAAGTAGATACTGTATGTCCTGAGGGTAAGGTCTTCATGCTTGGATACAATAGTCCTGATCAGGGCACACCAAAGAATTGTACAGCTGAATAACCATTTTCTTTTCCATGAAGTTAAAGGTTTGTTATATTATTCCTAAGGTTTGGTTGCTGGGGAGCATTCAGTGTCTGGTGGATCATCAAACCTGGCCCTAAGACGGGTTTGTGGAGTAGAACAACTCCCAAAACCTTCTCTGGGTGAATAACTCTTGGGGCTTTTTCTTTATCAATCTGCTGCACAGTTGTGTTGTTTTGCTATTATAATGTGCAGTGTTATGCCCTACATGCAAGGTCTTGCATTTATCAATATTGAAAAGCATTTGCTAGTTTACTGACCATTTGTGAAGTTCATATAGATCACTCTGCAAGGACTGAATATTGTTTTCACTTCTCACTTTACCATAGATCATGTCATCTGCAAATTTGATGTGATTTGTGATTGAGATTTTCTCGGCTTGTATGTCGTTAATGTACAATACAGTACTAATAAAATTAATACAAAAAATACAGTAAAAAAGGGGGTTGGCCCCAAGTTGGAACCTTGCTTTCTTTGTTTTAGCCATTGTTTTATCCATTATAGTATTTTGCATTTGATTCTATGTGCTTGCAGATGGTATGTATGTCTTTAGTGTGGCACTTTATCAAAATCTTTAGAATATTCCATGTACACTACCTCTGCTGGAAGTCCTTTGTCTGTAGTTGGTTACTGTTCCCAAAACTGTGAGTGAATTAGTTTGGCAGGATTTATTTTTTTACAAAACCATGTTGTGTTGATTTTACAAAATTATACACTGAGATGGTGAATGAGTCTCTCCCTTTGGATTCTCTCCATGAGCTTGTAAGTATGTGAGGTTAGGCTAATTGGTCTGTAGTTTTTTGCTGAGCTTTTTTCCCCCCTCTTAAAAATGTGAATGGCATTTGTATATTTCCAACCTAGGGGAAACTCTTCCAGCCAACACTTCTACAGTGAATACTGTCAGGAGTGATGGTGTTCCAAACTTACAGGATACCCTGTACATCAATAAGTGCTTGAAAGAAACCATGCATATTTAATTACTGTAGGTAGAATATAAATATGATATTTAAGAAGAAAATACAGAACCAAAATATCAATGAAGATCTTTGTCTGAGAAATTGAGTTTTAATTTAAGAAAGAATATTTTACCTACAGTGCTTTAGAAGTATTTTTAACGGAATCATCTCTGTTGATGGCAGCTCAAATTACATAAACAAATATATAAAATATATATATAAAGTTATATATATACAAAGTATATATAATTTTTTAATATACAGTACCAAGATATTAGTGGTTAGAAAAAGCTTCCAATTTGAGTTTACAGTATAATTTTTCCCCTCTGGGGTTTTGGAGTCTTTGGCATTTTTAGCTTTACAGTACTAGGAAAGTGTTTGTCATAGACTTTGGGGCAAAATTTTTATTATATTTCATAGTCTTCCTGAAAAGTGACTGCCTCGTTGATTTACCAAATCTACCCGAGTTTGTTGTGATGAATTCACATAGGAAAACACACTTGCGTAACTAAATCAGCTGAAACAGGCAGAATTGGTGTGTTTTTGGTTCACCAAAATAAAACTTTTATACGGCAAATGCATGTAATGTCACACATTGATGCATATATTAAGAACACTTGTTTTTGTTAAATTTGTCAATAATTTTTAGGGTAAAAAATTTTGCTGTTATTAAAGATGTTATGGCTCTATGCTTGTGTAAGAATTATGTATTTTTGATGTTGTTATAGATGTTATAATAATCTAGATCTGTATATTGTGGGCAGTCATTCTTATATAAACCAATAAAAATATTGATATTTTCAAGATTTACCTTTCCTATTTGATGGTAAATATGGTAATTCCATTCTCTTGCACTCATTTAACTCGTTTTTTTCTGCAATGCTTGCACAATTTACTATATTCAACTTCTACCCAGTTATTCATTCCTCAATCCTTGCCCGTTGGCAGGATCGCTGGTTTTTTGTTACTGGTAACAAGCTGCGTGCTCTTAAGGATAGTGTCTTCCCCCATGGCCTTCCTCCTACCACCGGAACCGGCTCTGGCGAAGTTACAGATTGGCTAAACACGTTTAACTCACGGGGCACTTAATGGAGCACTGCCCTGCTCCTTTTTGTCCAAACTACATTGTCCCTCTTACAGTAATACATATCCTTGTGAATGTCCGGACTTCCAGGACGTGCATGTGTCTTGCTTCCTAACTGTCCCTCACGGTCACTTGTCCCCTCGATAGAATCCTTGGTGAATCGGATACCTTTGATGTTCGCTTTATGCGCTTTTGTTCTCATATTGGCATCCTTGGTGATATTTAGCGCCTTTTGAATATCACGCACTTTTGATGGTGCTACATAGCCTTTCCAGCTTGGTGCCTTCTTTTGATAATTACTTAGTTACTATTTACTATATTTTTGTTAAACAGTCTGTTTTTCTTAATATCTTAAATGCATTTAAGTGATGTTGTTTAATGATAAGTTATAAAAGATCGATAGAAATAATTGGAAAATAAAGATTATTGAAAATTAAGAAGATAACATTTGTAAAAATAATAATAAACTTTGTAAGTAAAGTAAATTTTATTCAGGAAAGTAAATACATAGTTGATTTACAAACATAATGTTGGATTTATAGACAGAGTTCCATTAAAGTAATGAAAATAATATTAAAATATATTAACATTTTGAATATATTATACAAATATTTAAAATAAAATAAATATTTAAAATAAAACACTTGAACTCCAAACCTTTCCTGACATTCTAATAAAAGCAAGAGTAACGCCTGTCCACAAATGTGGTGATCTCTCAGATGTTAACAACTACAGACCTATATCAATCCTGCCTAACTTGTCAAAAATATTCGAAAAACTAATCGACAAGCAGCTTTACTCTTTTTCTAGCCAAACACAATATACTTAGCTCTTGTCAATATGGCTTCAGACCCAAAAAAAGCACTAACGATGCACTTATTAGTATGATTAACTTAATTCACGCAGCTCTTGATAAAAAGGAGTTTCCTGTTGGGTTATTTGTGGACCTGTGTAAGGCTTTTGACACTGTCAACCATCAAAACCTTCTTCTTAAATTACATCATTATGGAGTCACAGGACACTCCCTGCAATACCTCAAATCTTATCTTACTGACAGGCTCCAGTATGTTTCTGTGAATAATACAATTTCTCCCACCCTACCCATCAACATTGGTGTTCCTCAGGGCAGCATACTTGGCCCTCTCCTCTTTCTCATCTACATTAATGACCTTCCAAATGCCTCCCAACACCTCAAACCAATTCTATTTGCTGACGACACAACCTTCATTTACTCCAGTCCTGACCCCCTTGCTTTAAATGCCACAGTAAACACTGAGCTAGAGAAAGTCCATCTTTGGCTAACCGCCAACAAACTCACCCTTAACATTGACAAAACGTTTTATATTCTGTTTGGCAATAAATCCTCTAATCAGATAAATCTCAAAATAAACAATACCCAAATTTGTAACAAATTAGATGGCAAATTCCTTGGCGTTCTCGTCGACCACAAGCTGAATTTCCAGGGTCACATTCTAAATATATCAAAAAAAGTTTCAAAAACTGTTGGCATTCTTTCTAAGATCAGATATGGTCACTGCTTGATCGCAAGCGGGGATTTTTCTGGCGGGGGAGAAAGAAACAATTGCGCAGCGCGTCCCGCGGCGTTGCGCGGGCAGTTTGGGGCCGTATAAATACGGGCGCACACTGGGGCTCTGCCTCACTCCGCCTGCCCTCGCCGCTGCCCTCGCAAACACTCCCCGGCCGCCCGACTTCGCACGAGATGGACAACACGCCAGCTGCCTCGGTACCTGACCTCTCTCTCACGGACATCCTGGGGCCCTCGACACCCCAGACTGTTCCGGCAGGGCCCTCCTGCCCTACACTTTTAAACCCAAGGTGAGGTTTTCTGTTCAATTCTAGTCAGGTCCTCCCCCAGTGCGGCGTGTGCCTAGCGCCATCCCCTCGCGGTACGTGTGTGCCGCCTTAGTTAGTCCTTTGGGCTCTTTGCTGTTGTTCCCGGAGAGCTGGGGCGCCCTCCTTGGGCCTGTGCCGGGCGCCCCCGTGCCGTGCTGGTCGCGTGGCTGGCTTAGGGTCGGCGTGCCCCGGGCCGCGTCCCTAGTGGCCTGCGTTTGGTCTCCTCTCATGTGGGGCCCCGTCCAGCCGTGCCCGTCCGTGTCCAAGGGGCCCCGCAGCGCGGCGTGCCCAGGCGCGCGCCCTGCCCGGGGCCCCCCCGTCGGCGGCCAGGCGTGCCCTTGCCGGCGTCGCCATGTGGCCTGGCGTGGTGGGCCCTACGCCCTTTGTGCTCTGCCTTGGGGCCCTTCCCTCGCCGCCATCGACCACGTGTCTGGTCGTCTGGGCGTGCCTCGGCGTCCTTCCCGCCTTTCCTTCGGGGCTCCCTGTCGCCGGACCGCCGGGTTCCCTGGGTGTCCCAGGGGGCCAGGTTTCGCCTTGTCCGAGGACATGTGTCGCCGTCGGCGACGGATTGTGGCCAGGTTCGGTCCTACGCCCGGGGCGCATGTTCTCGGCGGCGGCGGCACGTGGCCAGGCGTGGGCGGCCCTATGGCGGGCCCCGCCTTGGGGCCCATGTATGCCTTGCCGGACCGTCACGTGCCTGGCCGGCAGGGCGTGCTTCTGCGTCCTTCCTGTTTTTCCCTCGGGTGTTCCCTGTTGCCGGTCTGCCGGCTTCCCTGGGATGTCCCCAGGGGTCGGGTCTCCCTGAGCGGACAAGCGTCGCCCCTGGTGACGACTCGTGGCCAGGTCCGGCCCTCCGCCCGGGCCTGCTACGGGGCACACGCCTGGTCGTGCTGCCACGTGGCACGGCGTTCCGTGGCGCGCACGGTTGGGCTGTGTCCCGCCCTTCCTGTCCCCTTTTGGGTGCTAATCCACGTGGCTTTGCGCCACGGCTTCCCATGTCGGGGCTCGGGCTGCCTTGCGCCCGTACGGCCGCCCCTGTGTGCGGCCCCCCCCCCTCCCCCTTTTCGTCTAGGCCCTGAGCATGCCGTGTGGCAGCGCGTGGTTGGTAGGCCACGGGGTCCTTGCCGTGTGTGGTGTGCTCTTGTTAGGCACGTCGCCCTTGGACGTCTCGCCCGGCCGTGTTGCCCGGGGTGTTAGCCCCAGGCCCTCCGGTGTCCCGGAGTCCCCAAGTACGTCTTCCCCAGAGTGGCGCCGATCAAGATGTCCCCAGACGTCTGTCGGCTGGTATAATATAATATGTAATAATATATAATATAATACTATAATGGTATAATAGTATAATATAACTGTATACTGTATATATACAGTATGGTTGGTAGCGTGGTTGGTAGGCCACGGGGTCCTTGCCGTGTGTGGTGTGTTCTCTGCTAGGCACGTCGCCCTAGGGCGTCTCGCCCGGCCGTGTTGCCCGGGGTGTTAGCCCCAGGCCCTTCGGTGTCCCGGAGTCCCCAGGTACGTCTTCCCCAGAGTGGCGCCGATCAAGATGTCCCCAGACGTCCGTCGGCCGGTGTAAGTCCGGCATGTAGTCCCCAGACGTACGTCTGGCCGGTGTTGCCCAGTGTGTTATTTCAAGCTTTCCGCCGTCCAGGCCCTCAGGCACGTGCCCTGCTTGCCTGGGGGGTAGCCAGGACCGTTACTCCATGTCCTCCGTCTGGCCGGTGTTGCCGACAGGTTGGTTCCCAGGCGCTCCCGCCCGGCCAGTGTAGCCTGGTGTGTTTGTCTTAAGCGCCCTGCACGTCCGTTGTAGCAAGGATTCCTCCTACGTCGTAAGTTCAGCGTTCGTCCGCCTGTGTCGTCTGTTGTTCTTCTTCGTCGGAGGGAGACGCCGGCGTTGGAGCAAGGACCCGAGATCAGCTCGATGACGACGGCAGGTTTACGTCTAACGGTACGCACCACAGGCCCTGGGTTCGGCGTTGCCGCCGGCAATCCAGGATGACTTCGTTATGTCCGTTAAGTCCTCGGCGTCCAGTTCCAGGGGCCGTGCCCTGGACAGGGGGGTGGCCCCCATGTTGCCTGGGGCACGGTATCCTCCAGCAGATGGCGGTGTCGAAGCGTCGTCGGGAACGTCGTATATTTAATGATTCTCATTCGTTGCCTTCCTATGACACTGTAAATTATGGTCACTGCTTGCATCACAAGCGGGGATGTTTCTGGCGGGGGAGAAAGAAACAATTGCGCAGCGCGTCCCGCGGCGTTGCGCGGGCAGTTTGGGGCCCTATAAATACGGGCGCACACTGGGGCTCTGCCCTCACTCCGCCTGCCCTCGCCGCTGCCCTTGCAAAGTGTTTGTCTCTTTGTTGGCGCGCGCGCCCTGAAGCACGCCTGTTGGTTCAGCGTTGGTGACCAAATGCAGGTGCAGTGGTCCTAGAGGGGAAGGTGACCCTCGGTGTTATGGGGCACTGGGTTTTTCTCCAGTAGGTGGCTGTTATTTGAACCACACTCGGGAGGAGGCCTGTCCACCCCTACCCTCTCCTTCCCCATCTGCTCAGCCCTGTCCTTAAGCTCCCCACCCAGTCGACGTGAGGTTGCTGTTGGGCGACTTCTGTCATGCCGTTATTTATTATTTACGTTCTTTATATGTCCTTCCTTACAGTCTGACTGTTAGTCAGGGTGTGTTTCCTCACGCTACAATATTTACTGTAATTTTACCTTTGCTTTCGCCCCTAGCTTTAATTTTCATGGATTTGTATTTTCATAAGTTCCTTAATTTATTAATGAATTTAATGGTGGCAAGCTGCATGTTTCTTTTGCAGGCTTTTCATTCAGGTCTGTTTTAACTTTTGCTTATTGCCTATAAGTTA